TTTATCAATGTTGGTAATTTGTATAAAATTTCATAATTTATATGTCACGTGAATCCGCTGTAGAAAGACCCATCCCCATCAAAAATCCGTTAACGTTGTGGAATAAATTTATTAATATGACAATATTTAAATCCGCTGCGGCGAGTTCCGCTGTGACGAGGTTTGACTGTACATAATTATCACCATTTTCCCTCTTTAAAGACGTAATTACGAAATTAATTACGTATTACAGGCGACGAAATTAATTACGGGTGGAGTTTGGATCCGGGGGAGGAGCAAAAAGTTAAACCAAAGAAGACACTATTGTTGTTGTTTTTGACGAGGCCCAATTTAATGATGCGGGCTATCAGTCTCTCCAATTCGAAATGATTAAGGCAGGTTATAATTGTTTAATAATGTCAGCTACTTTTCCAGGTGCTGACTTCCTCTTATTCAATGAAAAGAGTATTCGGTGGCAAATTGGATCCTACCGTGCCAGCCGGTTTAAAATCTTTTTCACTTTTTTTACATTGATAAGATGATACTTGGTCTTTATATTCTTATATATAATATATATTTTAGTTGATTCTGAATATAAATATAAATATAATATAATCAAAGTTATTAATTGATTACCTCACCAGCCTCTGAATCTAATAAATTGTTCTCAGGATCAATCCCAATATAGTTAAACCTTTCTAATGGAAATTTAATTGCAAGCCTATGTAAATTAATAAATCTTGTAGATTTAAATTTAAATCCTATTATTGTAATTTTATTTGGATAATTTCCTGTGAATTCATAAAATCTACATATAGAAAATATTAAATTTTCATATGAATCTTTTGCATATTCCTCAGTTGTAATCCGAGAAAATAATGAATAATAATAATTATCATCATCATTATTGAAATTATTATTTTTGTAAATTATTCTAGCAATTTCCTAAACCAATAAATAAAATCAATTGTTAAATAACAACAACAATAATAATAATAACAATAATAATATTTTTTCATTTCCTAAATTTTTACCCAATAACTTTGTGATTCTGTCTTTGGACCTGCTGTAAACCTTGTTTGACCACTTATTAAATAATATATTTATAATGATTTATTTACTATATAAAGATAAATTATATATATGCATATAAAACAATTTGCTAATGTATTAAACATTTACCCACTAAAAATTAGCAAAGATTCATTATTTTTACCAAGCAATTCCAATCCTCTTTCAATGTGTTTCATAAAAGTTTTAACATGATCAATATTTCTTTGATAATCTTCTAAAATCCAATTGTCCAAATCTTCTAAATCATCTTTGATATTGCCATTACTAACTCTTCCTCCTAGATAAATTGAATGACCTGGTATTATAATTAAATCTTTTAATTCAGGTTTTGGAGGATTTGGTAAAATTAAATTAAATGAATAAATATCATTAATCTCATTATTATAATTATAATTTTCTTGCTGTTGTAAATTTGAAATATAAAAATAATAAATATTTATTATTGTTATCATTATTAATAAAAAACCTCCTAATATTAAAAGTTGTTTAAATTTTTTATTTTTATTAAATGTTTGTTGCTGTTGATTTTCTACTTCAGATATTATATCTGAATTATGTAAAGATAGTGAAAGATTTTTAGGGTTTTTTGAACGCATTTTAATACTAATAATTAATATCAAGTCCTCAATTTGAAATCGAAATTATGTGAAATTGAAATCTGAATGTGCATAATATTATTACAATTATTATAATAGGAAATTTTTTCTTCAAAAGTACAAAGGTACATGTATCACTCCAATTTTGATTTCCAAATTTGGAAAGATAACTGACAGTTGGGTAGGTGGGTATTCATTCATTTTAATTTTAACAGGACCGGCTTATAGCATTAGGTGTATTAAAGAGTTAGACCTTTCAGAAAAGAAAAAAAATACTTGGTTCAAAAAAGTGCTTGTTTTGTGAACTATTGGCCAAAAGCACGGTTTATTTAGGAAGATCTTATTAAAAAGACCAAGTATCATCTTATCAATGTAAAAAAAGTGAAAAAGATTTTAAACCGGCTGGCACGGTAGGATCCAATTTGCCACCGAATACTCTTTTCATTGAATAAGAGGAAGTCAGCACCTGGAAAAGTAGCTGACATTATTAAACAATTATAACCTGCCTTAATCATTTCGAATTGGAGAGACTGATAGCCCGCATCATTAAATTGGGCCTCGTCAAAAACAACAACAATAGTGTCTTCTTTGGTTTAACTTTTTGCTCCTCCCCCGGATCCAAACTCCACCCGTAATTAATTTCGTCGCCTGTAATACGTAATTAATTTCGTAATTACGTCTTTAAAGAGGGAAAATGGTGATAATTATGTACAGTCAAACCTCGTCACAGCGGAACTCGCCGCAGCGGATTTAAATATTGTCATATTAATAAATTTATTCCACAACGTTAACGGATTTTTGATGGGGATGGGTCTTTCTACAGCGGATTCACGTGACATGTAAATTATGAAATTTTATACAAATTACCAACATTGATAAAATAAATAATCAATAGATTATTTTTAATCAAAGGTCAGTATTAAAATAAAGCAATAAAAACAAACAATTTTATCCAAAGGTTTATGAGTAACAAACTTTCTAAAATAAATTATTTATCCGAATGTGTGCAAGTAATAAAATTTTCTAAGTTTCTAAAATAAACCAACGATTGATAGTAAAGTCAATTAGATTTAAAGCATTTAAATCATTGAAAAGAAAAATGGAAAAACTAATACAACCAAATATTACAACAAATAATTTTAATTTCCGCATGTATTCATTTATTTCTGTATTATTAAAAAAATTTTTGTCGATCATGATCATCACCATAGCAGATTTCTTGTCACAACGGATTTTTTGGCTGGTACCATGAATCCACTGTGATGAGGTTTGACCGTATGACAAAACTTTTGGCTTTAGTCATTGACGTAACTAAAGTATTGACTAAAGGTAGTTTCTCACTAGAGCCATTTTGACGATTTGACTAAAGTAAAAGCCCTTGACGTAAGTAAAACCACTTGGCGTAAGTAAAAACACTCGGTACAAGTAAAAACGTTTGATACAAGTAGCAATAATGATAATGATAAAATAGGATTATTAAATTTGATATTTTTCAAATTTTTGACTTTTGAAGTTAACTACGCGTAATAGTAATATTAATAATATTAATAATGTGTTTGGGCTGTTTTTATTATCCGAATTCGAAACACACATAGGTTGGTCAATATTGGTATGTAGAACGACCTATGAGACAGGTTTGGTGCAGGTGTTTGTAAGTCTTAATTTTGAAGGATAAAAATAGTAAACAAAGAAAAAAAGAAAAATTATTTATTGTTAAAGCATTGAATTTTTGTTTATGTCAAAGTTATTCATTAAGTAATTCAAGATTTAAGATTAATGTGAAGAGGGCGCACACTACCCCACATGACGACAGTAGCAGCATTCTAATTTGCCAGTTTTTTCCGGCAGAATTTTATTTCCGACGATCATTTTAGAGTTGTTTGTTACACATTATTCAGAGAAAAAGCCACTCTACACCAAAGTCAAATTTATATTTTTATATAATGTCACATGTTAAACTATTATCATCATTATCAAGTGAAAGAAAGGAATTTGTATATAAAATTTATAATGAAATGCTTAATGATGCTAATGCTAACGTTAATTCTAATGAAGAAAATATAAAAGATTATTTTTTTTCATTAGTCAAAGACAAGGAGGAGCTTTCTGAAAATGAAAAAACATTTTGCGAAGAAAGGTTTATTTATCAGTTGGAATTAAAAAATGCAAGAGATAAAAAAGGCAAACCAAAAGAATGTAACAAGTGTAAGTTAACAAGGTACTCTGATTAGTATAAAATTACAGAGTCTCTTCACCACTTGGACATCTGGGAATAACATAATTGATGATTTTATTCAAAAATATCAAATGAAATCATCCTTGCCAGACTATATTTTAGAATGGATACCTTTGAGCAATTTGAAAAAGTAACAAAGTTGACAGAAGGTGGATTTATTTCAATTTATACTGCTACATGGACAAGAGGAGCTATGACGAAAATAAAAAGGAATTTAGTTATTTAGGAGGTAATGGACAATTAGTAGTATTAAAAAGTTTAAACAATTCAAGTAATCCAGGAAAAGCCTTTTTTGATGAGGTTGGTTCTTGTCATTTAAAACAATACTGTATTATATAATAAATATTAATTGATTTCATATTTATTTTCAGGTAATAAGTTATTTTGAAATTAAATCACATATGATTAATCCTTGCTTGGTATAACTAAACTCCCAGATAATGGGAAATTTAAGGGGTTATTTACAAAAAAATCATTTAAATTTAACATTAAAAGATAGAATTAAAATCTTTGATTCTTTATACATTGCATTACATCAGATACATTGAAAAGATTTAATCCATTGTGATTTACATAGTGGTAATATACTTGTGGCAGGAGGTAATTGTTATATTACAGATTTGGGGTTATGTGGACCAGTTGATGAAAAGTCATCAAATAAAGTCTATGCAATTGTATCATATGTTGCACCCGAACTACTTAGGGGCAATATCACAAAGAACACAAAAGAAACAGATATCTATAGTGTTGGATGTTAATGTGGGAAATATTTGCAGGTCATCCACCATTTGACAATAGAGCTCACAATAATCGTTTGATTTTTGATATATGTGAAGGTTTACGACCACCAATACTACCTGGAATGCCTGATGATTATGTGCAAATGATGCAGAGGTGTTGGGATGTGGATCCATCAAAAAGACCAACTAATGGAGAGCTTTTCGAATTTGCTATAAATAAGTATAATGAAATTTTTAAAAATAAAAGTTTAAAAAATAATAGTAGCAATAATAGTTTAATAAAAAGATCATTTAAATTTTCTAAAATCAAAAAAACATGAAATTGATTTTAATAATGATAATGGAAACAGTGGTGGTAATGGTAATGCTTTGCAACAAGCACACAATTCACATCCAGATGCATATCATACAAGTAGGATATTAGATGAAGAGATTGCTAAATCTAAAAGCTTAAAAATTTATACAAGTAATGATAGCTCAGTAAATAGTCTTGATTTTAGCTCTTTTCTCCAAAATGCCAACAAAGGTGAATAAAATTTTCATTATTAATTAATTAATTTGAAATTATTATCCATTGCTGACAATATTTTAAACATTGGATTCTAGTAATGATAATAAAGAAAGAGTTGATGAATGACTAATTTAATCTCGACTATAAATTTATTCATAAAAGATAAATAATTATAATCCTTATTTAAAGCTAAATTATTTTAGAATAATAAACTTTTTACAATTAACTTTTGAGTTACTCTTGTGATTTAATTGCAATAATTCGGCGCTTATCATTATTTAATTTACAAATTTACTTTGGTTCTTGTCTGTATTTATTGACTGTTTGCAAAATCGCTTTAGTATATTTGCAAAGTAGCTCAAGTATCTTCGTTTATCAGCCTTACATTTACGACTACAATAATACTATCAGTACTTTCAATTAACCATTGGACGATACCTCATTAACACTCACTAATAACCAATGTTAACCCTAACCTTGCAAATAAAATGTGACTTTTTACCAAAGCTCCACAATTGTTATACTTTACCAAGGCACTACTACATTTGTTGCTTTTATCAAAACGCTTTAAACAAAGAAAATAAAGACAATGTTTTTAATTTTATTTTATTTTTATTTTTAAAAGTTTAATGATTAATTTTATTTAATAAAAATAATGATTCTATCACAGAGCTTTATTCATTGGAATGTTGATTATCTATTATTTTCCTCTACGAGGACTCGAAGTTATGCTTTTTCGAGCGAAGACCAGAAGTTATCCTTAATGAAATTTTAGTAACTTGATAAATCAATATTGATATAAGAAATGTTCGTGGAACTGAATTTGTATTCAACAAAAGAAAAACTTAGCTCCCGGGAACAATAAGCTTTTGTATTTTATTAGTATTAGTCTTTAAAGCAATTTTATTTACGTAATTTTTGACTTAATGAAAGCGAATTATAAATTTAAAAATATATATTATAACAATAACAATAACAGAAAAAGTTAACAATTTTCATACTATGGTGCTGAATATTCTTTATTAAAAAGTTTCGGAAGTTACCACAGTACGTATTTGGCTTCATGGTACTGTTAATTTAAAAAGTTATAGATACAGTCCCCCAAAAAAGTAATGGCGGGGTGTTTTTTTATTATTAAAAAATTTTTTATATAACAATTATAAAAAAAA